ATTGTTATTCAAGGTAATTCGTCACGCAGAGTTAATATTATAATTTCCCTTCTGATGCTTTATCACATATACCTTAAAGGTCTTTTAAATATTCAACTTTCTTCACGTGAGATTATATCTTGAAAAATATTTCAATTAATTTCACACCTTCCATTTAGCACAACTTACACTGCTTTCGACCGGCTAACGAGTCACTGTGCCGTCTTATAAATTTTCAATTGCTCAAATAAGCGCTGCGAATCGTAAAGAATTAATTCAGTTCCTATGTGAACGTAATTTTCATTCTTACACTAAATGTTCTAATCTAAATAAACGTCCATTCAGTATACAATATCAAACAGCAGAACACAATAGCAATATTCTCCTCGCAGTGTTCTCTTAAAAAAGATTAAAAAAGAAATAATCGTTGAACACTGGGACGTCCGGCCGGGTCAAAAATGACCCATTAGCAACTTTCCAGGAATTTATTTTCTACACGCGAGCTTCTATTTGTATCGATGCAAATCTAATTTCCCAATCACGTTCTACTTACATCAAAATTCACTTCTGAAAAGTCGCTGATGTTTACTATTAAAGAAGGAAAGAAAAAAAAACGAAATCCACAGTAAGATGGATAAAGAGCGTAACGTTGTAATTTAAACAAGAAGGCACTAAAATCCCAAAGCACGGTTAGAAAGTTGTACGCAAACGTTGATCGATCTATTTAAACTTGTCGTATGCACGTAACATATCTGATCTACCATACAGTAGAAACTGAATTGTACAACTCAACCGTTTAGCATACCCACTGCAGTAACAGGTTTATCTTTTCCGACATACTTTTGGTACTCTAAACGTAAAGCTGGACACTGGACCTGTTCGAATTTCCAAGACTGATTAATCGCTGTTTACTGATATTAATTCATAATTTTGTTAACGATATCCCAATTACCGTGATTCATTTCAACAGCGATCGGGAAATTAAACAGAATTTCTCGCGAAAGAAGTAGTACGTCGACTGACGTATCAACCGCGGTAATTTAGCGTGTCCAGTTGCGTGAATATAAACTACCTTATTAAAATTACCACGTCTGTTCACCTTCAGTTTCATTAATCAACCTAGAAAAAGACTAAAAGAAAAAAAAGAACAGAAACGATCGTGCGAGAGGACAGGCTCCGTTTGGGTCTGACATTGCTGAAACGGTACATGGATAAAAGAAAATAATATGGTGAATTCCTGTAATAGAAAGTTCTGCGTGGTGATTTCATCTTGCCTGATGTATTGTTAAATTGATTCTGTTGTAAAAAAATTTTGATACGATGGAAACATTCATTTTATCGGGACTGGTATGGATTGATTTAACACTTTCGATGCGAAAGAGAATGATTAAACTTCAAGTCGTATCATTAATATTAATTAAGTATTAAATAAATATGATATTAAAATTTAATTTTTCTTTTGAAAGTTGTACGCATTTAATTTTAATTTTAATCGAGTGATTTCATGTTAAATTCTGATTTAACATTGCATTTCCGGAAACTTAAAAATGAGACAATTTAAGTTGCAGGGAAATGTGTAAGGTTAGATTATATTTAATAATCAGTGATACAGAATATTTAGTTTGAAAATTAATCGTGACTTGTGAAAGCTGTATTTTCCCTTACTCACGAGTTGATTTTATAAAATTTTTGAAACTTACGGTGATTCGATGGTTTCTAGAATTCCAGAACATCAAATATTTATAAGATTTTGAGATTTTCGTGATTGGAATTCTGATAAAATACACGAAACGTGTTTCCACAAATACGTAGTTCGTATGAACAATATAAATAAATTACTAACAAATTGACAAAGATATGCAAAGAATTAGAATTTGAAAGTAATTATTCTTCATAAACATAATCATGTTAAGAAGTGATAAAACATTATTATATCTTAGCTTCATTTTGTAAAATCTCACTTTTCAATAATGAACAACAGCAAGTGTTTTTAACGAAAGAAGAATCTTTTCCAAGTATTACCCAAAATGTACGAGGAACAATAAATATCACACTGTTTCTTTTACGCGGTTAAGAAGATATTTCGTAAATGCAATATTATTTGTCACTCGAGCTTAATGTTTGCTATCAACGTAACACGTGTGTGACAGTTCCCGTGACATAACGTTACGCGTGTATGTGACACATTCTGTAAACCCACAGTCTGATTGATACTGCATATTACGTGTCCATACAAATGTAAAAATGAATTAGATGAAACCACGAAAAAGAAAAACGAAGAAAAATAAATTTTTCCAAGATGGACCACCTAACTCTTCTTCTCAACTTCTTATCGTCTTTAACATTTTTACGCGTGATTAAAATGGTTTCAAAGGGTAAACGAAATGGATGAAAAATTTTTCTGACAGAAGAAATGGTAAAAAATGAAAAGAAGTTTCATATTTGATTAAAAATTTTAGAGTTCAAGGTTACATTATTATGCATACATACATTAATATAAAAAGAACATAAGTAACCTTGAAAAAGAAAAAACTTAACCTAACAATTCAAAATTACGTATAAAATTCCTTTCTTACCATCATAGCTAGAGAAGATAATTAGGTGACCTGCTTTACCTGGCTCACCCTGTGTATATACATAAACAAAAATAGCGTTAACGTTATATCTCTCTTCAAAACTGAACGCATATGACAGGAATAAGCATACATTATCATAAATTAAATAAAAAAAAAAAAAAAATTCCAATGATTCATGTGTACGAGATATAATTTTGCGTACCACTTATCCGATGATCCACAGAACCTGACGTATAAAAGCTACTTTAAAAAGACCGTTTTGTTTTTTTAACCTAAATGAAATGTTAATTCAATCTTTCGTATGCTGTTATTTTATTTTCACCCGAACTTTGATCTAGAAACTAGTCCAATGGAGATTTCGTTACTCGCGAGGGTTATCGAAAGAACTCCGTGACATGCAACCGGAAGGCGATCGTGTTTCGTTGCACATTGTACACGAGTTACATTTACCGAGTTTCTCGTGCACCGTTAGCGGAAAATTGCCAGACTACGTAATTCCGTGATCGTAGACGAATATCAAGTATGAAAGTAGGAACAGAGTGTCAACCGTTTTTTCTTTTTTTTATTTTGATTTTTTTGTACGATTTCGAGGAACGATTTCGTACGATGTTCGAAATTCTCGATTTGGAGTTGTTCCGTGATAAATTCGACGAATTTTTAGAAGAAAGTTTGTTTCTCTCCAATTTCTCGAAAATTGTGCGCAATATTTTTGCAATAAAGAAATTTTTCATTTCTTGCTCAATTATTTTAAGAGTGCCTTTTGGAATTATTTTAAAAATGCTTCTAAAATTATTAAAATGCCTCTGTTCTAATTTGTTTTCTCATTTATGTAATATTTAAAGTATTTGTATGATGTGACATATCGTATATATTTTGTAGGTAATTTACTTAAAAATTTTATTTTTCTTAATTAGTGATTATTTTTGTTCAACTACGCCACATGATTACATTGTTCAGTTAATTTGGAATAAAAAGAAAAGATATCTGTATTTTGTCATTTTCATAATCAAAACTATTAAAACAATTAAAATCTTTTATTGAGAAAGAGAGCAGTATTACAAAGTTAAAGTGTTACACATGTAGTTTCATTGTAAAGTATAATATATTTCTCAATAGCGGTGTGATTGTTAAATCATCTCAACTTTCCAAGTATTGCACAATTTACTTTAACAATGTTTTTGCCTTCTTATGAAAATCATATTTTAATACTAATTCCATCTTATTCTCTACTGTGAACAAATTTTTAATGTAATTTAGAAGACATACACTGTTCAAGGATTAAAGGTTCACCATATTAAAAAAATTGTAGTTTCATTATATTAATATTTCTGTAATTTGTAATTTCATTACATATTATAAAACAAATAATAAAATTCGTTTGATTTTATAAAAAACAAAAGATTTATTTCAATCTTCAAATTTTCTATCCTGTGTTGCATATTAGATCTTTTATGTAGATCTTATCATGTAGATACCCAAATTTTATATTACAATCAAACTTTGTATAAATATGAAATTCCCGTTAGAATCATTTAAAATGAACATATTTCGTAAATGTTAAAGTTTCACATTATTCGTGGTAAGAATGGAAATATACAAAATATAATTATTGCATAACAATAATGTTTAATCCAAGATTCTTTCTTAGACGTTGTGTCGTACTTTCACAGGTTAAAAACAGAGTAAAGTCACGCACGTTGCAATTGGCGTACTACAACGCTGTAACGTACGATGCAAGATAATGCAGTTTAAATTTATTTGTATTTACTGCAACATGCACCGAACCATGTCTCGTATATTAAACGCGATATTCTAAGCTATCTTTCGTTTCTAGAAGTGATAAGACGAGACAGAAATATTAAAAGAAAATATAACTTTCAAAAACGTGAAAATGATGGGGACTAAGAATAATGTCTTTTCGTATCTCACTTTGTCTCCTTAATTGTCACCTTTCGTTATTTATACAATTTTAGTTTAGTTAAAAATGGTAAATTTTTTGCACTTCCATTTAAATTTTTATACTTATTTTTTTTTACATATTCTTCGTTAAATCGCAATTCTTTTATTATAATTTCGTTAATAGTAATTGTTTCATATTGCACACTATTAGTTTATATACAAAATATCAGGCTTGCAAAAATATTTTCAAATTAAAATTCCTAAGGTTCTCTCAATAAACGATTTCACCTATCAAAATTATGCAAAGACTAGAATTTTTCAAACTTACATCATGCGTATTCTATATTTTTTATTTCAAACAAGGAAATTTGATTGATGCCATTGAGGCTTAAGTTTCTAAAGGTTGTTTATACTTTCAAATGTCAAAATGATTCTCAAGATTGATTCATGTAAATATTCTAACATTTTCTACACCGTTTGGCGAGATTGTTTATTTTAAATAGCAAATCTTTTCACCTAATTACGATCTATGTGTATTTCAGAAACATGAAGCAAGGGATAGAATGGCGGATTGCAGCAACGTTCCTTGTCGCCTTAGTAATAAATGAAGTAAGCATAGTGAATGGCAAGAACATTACGTCTGGAGACGAGAATTCTTCGGAAAGTACAGGTAAGAATTGAATTAAACTGAAAAATATTCTTAAAAATGATAACAATTTTACTTATAAGGACATTCACCGTTTATATTCATATTACTATTCATAGACAAATAATTTTACAAAATTAGTTTCACGTCGCATTAATTATAACGATCACTATCAAATTTGTAGTATTTTAATTACAATCGAAGATTTCGCCTGAAATCACGAAGATCTCTGGGTTCACAATGATTCGAGTAATCACGAAAGTAAGAAGAATCATATAAAACCTTTTGTTCGACAACAATGGACCGTTCACTGCGATATGAAATTTTATATTCTCCGAGGTGCAAAATGAGTGGAATTTAAGAGTCGTAAACTACTGTTGCAACTTTGTCATGAGTCACGATACTCTGTCATGTCACTTTATAGCCACTTTCAAATCTTTTTCACCAGGTTCACTTGCTCTACATTAAATCACAAGAATTCCCATAATCATAGCAAGAGGTGAGAAAAAAAGCCAACTATTTACTTGCACACACTTCGAAGTTCCAGGTGTTTTCGATCATGCATTATGCATTCTATTTACCACGGTAAAAAGGAGTATGAAGTCGTTGTTAAGTAATTTATAGTTATCTTAATTTACATAAATTCACTATCGTCAGTGACAAATTTAAAACTATTTAGAGTACAATTTAAAAAAATTTTTTAAAATTTAGAATAAAAATTAATTTATATTTTGATTTATTAATTCATTATCATTGGTAATTAATTTCAAATCAACGATAAAGCAGATACCTATATTCTCCATAAGGGAACATGTTCGAATAGGTACTTTCGAAGACAGAAATGTAAGCGAATTCTAACAGTAATTAAAGAGACAGCTAATTGAGACAAAGGACAAGAACACGAGCAGGAAGAAAAGAAAAACCCGAAATAGTTGCGTACATTTTCCTCGCATATTACCGTTACTTTCTTCGATGGTAATTAAAGCGTTAGTAATCAAAAGCAAGAGGCAGAAACGCAGAGTGAAAGAAACTGGGGCAACAGGTTCCACGTGCAACAAGTAGGAGTTAATAGCAAGAAACGGATCGTGAAATAGAAAACGTACATAAGTATATACACGTGTTTTCAGGAATTCGAGTTACGTTTCCAAAGGACACTTTACAGTTGCAATAGAGGAGTGTCAATGTTGCAGTATGTAACGAGTTAGAGGCTGTGAAACTGGAACGTTTACATCGTCGAGAGTGAAACACAACTAACGAAAGTGAATTTTTCAGGAAATCGGTTTGCAATTTTTTGCAGCAGAAAATTATCAATTATTCTGTATTACTAATTACTCCACAAATTAGCAATGAAAACAATCTTTTCTTTCACAATTTAGAAAATAGTTTTTGGATTTTAAGGATCTCTGATAAAATATTGTTTGCGTGCTTTGTTTGCTATTACAAAAATGGTTAAAACAGCTCTATTTCGAATTGCGACGATGTTCATGTTGAAGAGTGTAATTTGAATTTGAATTTTAGCGACACTTTTTCAGATCAAAAAGGCTGATTTTTGGAATTATTTTTTTTGAAGGTATTTCTAAATTAACGATTTTTAACTGACGATACAAATTTTTAGTATATCCAAGAATCGACTAAGTATGCGTGTTGTCAACGAAAGTTTTGTAGAAGTTGCTTGTACAATACATATTGACACATAACTTCTCCAACTCTGCAAATCTTGAAGATAACTATTTTTCTCTGTTGAATTTTTACTTGAGAAATCTGTATCGCAAATAGATATACCATTTAATCAATTTTCTGTTTAGGTATGCCTACAAAAATAACAATTTAAATTTCTAACATCAATAATTCTGCACTGAAAGTGTGTAATATACAAACATTCCATTTTACTCCATTATTTAGAAAATATCTATTCCATTTTACGTACTCTCAAAAATCTGGACAATTACAAATTGTACTTGACTTTGCAGTTTTCCAATAAGAAGAAAACCGAAATTTTTACTCCTGCGCTCTAAAGGTGAAAGGCTTCTTATGTTTATTCAAGATATTTTCAAGAGAAATTGTTAAAAATTATATATTTACCTTGCAGCAATGTAAATTTATCGTAGGATGTAGACTTTTGTGCTCGATTTTATCTGTTCACTGAACTGTTAGTCACCAGTAGAACGCGACAATTTTATCTGTATTATTAATTTCATTTTAACGTTTAAACGTATCCTATTACTTTTAAATAGTACAAGGTTTTACAAGGCATTCAGTTTTTCTTTTTACAAATTGTACATACACATCGAGTACTTCTTCAATATGTTAGCAAAGTTACGCAATTATCGTCGTTTATAGCTACTCTTTCATTCAAGGTGGGAAAGTATAATGCAATAAAAACATGTAATAGTGAAATAACATTGAAGTTTCTACAAGTTTATGTAGTTAACGTCTCCTATTCAGAACGTGGAAAAAAATGGAATTGAGCCATACTGCTGTATATTATCAATAAATTTGATAATTTTCCTATTATAATAATGTGAAATCCGTAAATATTGAATATACAAGTGCACAGTCATGCTGATAAACAAAAGCATACCGATCTGGTTCGGTTCCATTGTTTTGCTACATTGTGAATAGAAGGCGTTAACTAAACTTGACGTTTGTTGCCAGTATAAATTATTATCCAAACGAAACGTGTTTTGAAATGCAAAACAAACTGTGAATAATGGCAATATATAGTTCCACTTAAAAAAAAGAAATAAAAATAACAAATAAACTTGATATTGAAATTTTTGCAGCTGAAAATCTAAAAAAAGGAAAACTTTATTGTTTCGTTAAATTTTCAAGGTTCAAGGATACAAGGTTCATGTGAAAATTTTTACAGTTAAATTTGACCTCTCCTGTAACGCGGGAAATATAATACAAATTAAGTTCGACCGACATCGCATTTTGGGTGAAATTTAAATAACCCGAAATTCCAAAACTACGAATTCAGAATGAATTATTAATTAAAAATTACGAATTTACAATTCATAATTCATGATTGCGCGACATCCAAAGGCAAAAATTCCTCAAATCGAGTTATCCTCGACGTAAGAAATTCGACGCCGACTCGGCATAGGACCAGGAAAGGGTTAAATGCTCATACCAAATCATCCTGCACAAATCAAATTGGTATTCACAAATGGGAACCGGGGGACACGCGGAATTCGTGTAACTTCCACAACGGCGAGCTCTCTAAGCAGCGGCGCGCGAGTAATTTGGCCACGCTCCAAGGCGGTACTCTTCCTAGCTGATTGAAATTCAAATTCGGCCAAGAGTTTACCGAACGTTCCCCCTATAGCCAGAATACGCAGCCGACTGTACGATAGGGTTCGTTCGTTCGTTTACAGAGTTGGCCCAGCCGTGGTCGCATCGATAAGATCTGTCTCGTTGCTACTAACATTTATCGTTCCGGCTGAAAGCAGTGAAAGGTATCGATGGCGTAGCAACGACCACGTTTCACGATCTATTACGTCGACATTGGATTTCTACCGATTGTCCCGCAGCGTGGTGAACGTTAGCCGATACTCCGATGGAAAAATAAGCCCTTCGAATACGTCCACGCAAGACTCACCGGCATCTTTGTCGTGGGAAAATGGCGATGGCCTTCTATCGATTTATCGTGCAATTAACCCCTTAAACGCTCATATTTTGCTCAACTTGATGTGCTAAATATGACCAATTTCATTTTTTTCCTACTTTTTTTTTGGGATATTTCTTGAACGTGTAGAAATAAGTTTGCTATTTATTCGAAATGCTGTAATTTACATTTTTGTCGTAGAATGGAGAAGATAGGGCAATGTGGAAAGTGGAAGAAAATAATTTTAAGAAATTGCACTTTTTGGGGGATTAATTGGGCACGTGTGATTTTTTTAAATTATTTCTTGGCGCGTAGAAATAAGTTTGCTATTTATTTGTAACGCTGTAATTTACATTTTTGTCGTAGAATGGAAAAGATAGGGCAATGTGGAAAGTGGAAGATAATTTTAAGAAATTGCACTTTTTGGGGGATTAATTGGGCACGTGTGATTTTTTTAAAATTATTTCTTGGCGCGTAGAAATAAGTTTGCTATTTATTTGTAACGCTGTAATTTACATTTTTGTTGTAGAATGGAAAAGATAGGGCAATGTGGAAAATGGAAGAAAATAATTTTTATAAATTGCACTTTTTGGAGGATTAATTGTGTATGTGTGAGACACGAATATGAGTGTTAAAGGGTCTGAAGGATCTTGCTCTGAAGGAACACATTAGCGTTGAATGATAAACATATGTTTTTGATTGCATTCCGGATAACGAGGAAATGCCTTACATTAAATAAGTTAATAATAAATAGTTCAATTTCTCTTCAGAAATGCCATAACTCAACACTTTGCTCGAAATATTAATTAGTTAAAAAATTGTAAAAGACTCGATTGAAACGATTGAAAAAGGACAAAGATTCCTTCTGAGACGTTCCATCGTGTCCAGTTGGAAAAGACAACCTGTATATTGCTAGAGTCACGTTCAATAAAAAAAAATGCAGGTAGGACAACTTCAAACACAATTCACTCGAAATTTCATATTTGTAACATAACGAATCGTTGAATTATATCAAACAGTTCCCTTTATCCTGATTAAAAAGATCCTACTTGCACACTGGCTGCTGTGGTTCCGGGTAAACCTACTGGAAACCGAGTAAGTGGGTCAAAACGCATGATTCAATTAAATCACGATCTTACATTTAGATGCACGTGGCAGATTGGTTGCACAGTGGATCGATTAGGTTTTATGATTAGGCGTAGGTTAGAGATGTGCGATCTAAATCTGTCGATCGTTACGTGGGTTGTTTAAAGTTGGGTGATTACTATTAAGTGTTATTTCAAAAATTGTCTTGCAAATCGTATGATTTTTGAGGGTTGAAAAATGACACACATTTTATACTTTTTTCATTACAAATTTTTTCATAATGTTGCTAAATACAATGTCATTCGAAGATTCAGAGCTGCAGCTCCCTAAAATTTGTTTAAAAATTTGCCTTAGAATATTTAATTCAAAAAAAAAAGCAGCAACCGTGGTGATTTATTGTCACTCTAATCTCCTTTTATATTTATTGTTCTTGGAAAGTAAGTCACAGACTGATTTTGTCTGTCTAATGAAAGTTTTACTTCCGGCAATTGTGGCGGGTCACCAGTGAGTCACGCAGTGTGAAACGTGCTAAGGAATTTATTACTTTGCTCGTTACGAAACCTACCAATGTCTCTCTTTATTATTCTCCTACAAATTAGTCGGAACCAAGAATACTTAAAAAAGAAATACTTATAATAAAAAAGAAGATTTTTTCCTTCGAACGTACGCTAGAAAAATCGTGAATCGACGTTCATGTAATACACGCCGGCTAATTAATTTCAAATCCAATTGAATTGCGTCAACTAATTTAAAGTAATCGCGAAGATCGTTATCTAGAAACCTATACGCGTGTAACGTAATATGTTAGCCAATTTAGTTTCCAATCGTTATTTCGTACCTTCCCTTCTTTTTTTTTTCAGGGAACAAGGAGAAACTGACGGATCTAGAAGGATCAGAGACCTCGTACAGTTTCAGTTTCGCAAACAGTTTCGGAAATGCGTTCAATTCGTTTCCTCATTCGATACAGCAGCAGACTGCGTTTCCATCTATTTTTCCAAGTGGTGGGTACGTAGGAAAAGATCAAATTTTGTAAAAAAAAATTTGTGAAAGAAATTCAATATTAGAAATATTAATTATTATTCTTCGATATTTCAATTGCAATTGTTTAATACGTTTAACGTTAGAATGACTGGCCGGGTCAAAATTGACCCATTAGCAAACTTCCAAAAAAGGCGAATATTTTTATTCGTATTTAAATTACAAATCACATATATTTGATACAAATCTAATTTTTCATTTTGAAAAATCGCTGCCGAGTCATTTTGGCCTGTTAATTCAAAATTTCACGAGTTAACTATTGTTACTTCTGTTGACAATTCGAGATCGATGTATTACTCCAAGACTATGGTAATATAAAGTTTTTACTTTCCTCACCGCTATTCATATTTTGACATATTAACAGCCTTAATTGTAAATTTTTCATTTTTCACATAATCTACAAATCAATGTCAATTTTATCTTTTATACAACTTACTTTACAAAACGTATTGCACGATCCATAAGTCATCGATCTCTAACGGTTAAGTCAGTTATATTCGCTGAATTCGCATAATCGTAAATATTCAAATACAAGTTTACACTTTTAAAAATTTTTCCCCAAATATCATTTAAACCTCAGGTTCAACTTTGGACAAAACCTAACTGCTACTATCCATCAAGAGATTATGTGCGGTGATACCTTTCCGCGTGGTTGCGGAGAACAAAGATATCGGACCTACGACGGCTCTTGCAACAATCTACGCAATCCGACGTGGGGTATGGCAAACACGAGATATGGACGACTTCTGCCAGCAAATTACGGAGACGGTAAGAATGAACTGCTTTTGTGTTTGCTTTACCTTCGCTTACAGATTTTCCATCGAACGTGGGAAACGATCGGGAAAGCTAAACGATCCCTTTAATGCTGGTGATTACTCTGTTACGATAAGAGAAGATGAAGAAATAGAGGAAAAATATTTGGCTAAAATATTTTTATCATAAAGAATAGCAATACTTGAAATTATCCGCAGTGATTATTCTATTACGATAAGAAATAATAGGAAAAGTAATGGAAAAATATTTGTTTAAAATGATTTTTATCGTAAAGAATAACAATACTTGAATTTATCAAACGTGAAAAATTAATCGAAAGAGCTAAACGTTTCCTTTGAGGCTGTGATTATTTTTAATTATGATAAGAAAAGATAAAGGAAAAATATCTAGTAAAATATTTTTACTATAAAAAAATAAAAACAGTTTAAAGTCATAATATTAAATCAGATAGATAGATAGTTACTATAGTTACAGATAGTTACTCTATTTTAAAAACTGAAGGTTAACATGCTTCTATTTATACATACATATATCCTGAATAAATGTGAATATGTATCAAATGTGTGTCTTGGCGAAAATGTTAATTTATTATTATCTCTGAATATGAAAAACATTTACGTTATAATTATCATTTATATAATTAATAATCTAATCTTATTTGCTCACTCAATATAGCACCAGAGTGAAATTAATATCTCGTGATTTATTGCACATAAATACAGTTATTAAATATGATTCATACATCATTTCTTCACTTGCAACAAAATAAAATGACATGTCAACGAAATTAATAGCTTTCCTGACAAGTAAAAAACGAACACATGTAATCGAATTTTATGCAATCTCTAAATAATACACACTTTTCGATACTACATATTAAAATTTATTTATTTTCTTTTTAG